CTCGCCCTCCCCTCAAGCCCTGCTCTTCTCTGGCAGTTGGGTTCACCAGCCCCCCGTTCTTTCCCACCTATACCTCTGGAGTGGAGATCTCCCCCACCCCCCACCTTCCTTCAGGCCTAAATGATTCATCAAGGTGACTTTAAAGAGTGAAGGCAGAGAGCTGGGTTCAAGTCCAGCCCTACCACAGCCTCACTGTGTGATCCTGGGCAGGGCCCATCTTCCCTCTGGCCAAGCCTCAGTGTCTTCATCTATGAAATGGAATCACAACACCTACCAGGGCTGCAGGAGGCCACAGCTACATGAGCACTGCTTTTTATTTATTTGTTTGTTTGTTTGTTTGTTTGTTTTTAGTTGGAGTCTCACTCTGTCGCCCAGACTGGAGTGCAGTGGCTGCTCCCGGCCACCGCAGTCTCGACCTGCTGGGCTCCAGCGATCCTTCCGCCTCAGCCTTCTGAGTAGCCGGAATTACAGGCACGCGCTACCACGCCCGGCTAATTTTTTGATTTATTGTAGAGATGAGATCTCACCAAGTTGCCCAGGCGGGCCTCGAACCCACGGGCTCAGGCAATCCACTCACCTCAGCCTCCCAAGGCACAGGATTACAGGCTGAGCCACCAAGCCCGGCTGAGCGCTGCTTTTTAAACAGATTGCACTGCGGTGGGGTTTGACTAACTACACCAAACCAAGAGAAAAAAGATTTGTGTTAAACTATGCTGAACACAAGCTGGGTTTCACAGTTGGTCCCTCTGAGCTATGTTGGGGAAGGTGACGTTTTATGCCCCCAGTCTTCCTACCAAGGGTCACCATCACCCCAACACTCCCGGAACCCTGTGAAGAAAGGAACCGGAGCCAGACTCTTAGGGAGGCAGGTTGCTTGGGTGGGGGAGCTGAGCCAGCTTGGCTCCTGGACGCCTGAGTCAGCGGGCAGGCGGGCAGGGCGGGCCCAGTCCTCACATGCTTGGGGAGGAGACGGTGCAGGAATGTTCCCCCGCCCAGGCCCAGGCCCAGGCCCTGCCCACCGCATCCTACTTTCACTGAGGCTGCAGCAGCTCAGATGGGAACTCCTGGGGCTCTGCAGGACGGGTTCAGCCAGGAGCCCTCAGAGGCAGCCTGGCCCTGAGGACCGGCCCAGGAGTGGGCAGTGCCAAGACACAGAACCGGGCTCCTTCCCACAGTACCCCTACCTTGCTGGGTGATGTGGCCACCCACCAGCACTCACTGGGCCTCAGGCCCCCATCTGTGCCACAAGGAGTTGAACGTGGTAGTGTCACCTTGACCTCTTGGGGACACCTCCTCCAATGGCTGCTTACCCTGCAAAGCTTTCCTGAATCTCCAGTGAGCTGGGCTGGTGGCCTGGGAGGTGGCACAACTGCAGTCTAGGCTTTCTCTGCCTTTACCGTGTGTACGCATGGCTTTGTGACCGTGTTTGCCTGAGCATGTGTCGCTGTGGAAGGCAAGGACTGTGTACATGGGACTGAGGGGTGGCTATGCGTGACAATAAAGCTGAGACAGGTGCTGTGAGCTGATGGCTGTAATCGTGTGTAGCAGCTGGGTCACAACTGTATGGACACATGAGTATGTGTGTGTGGCCTGTGCGCCTTAGGCAGGTTGCATAACTGTGTGTGGCTGTGTCTGCTTGCGGTCATGAAACAGAGTGATGTGTTTGTGACTGCAGATGACATCATGGGACGAAGGGGCAGTGCAAAGCTGGGGCTGCCGGGGCCACCTGCCTCCCCTTGGCCTGGCTGTGTTCCAGCTGTGGTACAGTTGTGGCACAGTGGTTCCCAGCACTCCTGTGTCCAAGGGGTGATGGATGCGGACTCTGAGTCCCGCTTCCATTCCCAGGCCCCGCACGTGGCCACAAAGCAGACTCCTTTTCCTGGGCTGGGCCAGGATTGGGGACCAGTGGTCCCCCACCCCCGGGGCACTGGTGGCTGCCCAGGGCAGAAAGAGCAGCCTTGTTTTCCAAACCCCTTGAAGCAAAGTGAGGGAGGAAACTGGAGGCAGCTGGACCCGGCTCAGCCTGGAACATCTGCCCAGCATGTGATGAGGCCAGCCAGCAGGCCCTGCCACCACCAGGATGCCCCCACACCGGTCCCCCCGGCCCCCTGCTGAGAAAGGATCGGCCAGTCCAGATCAATCCCAAATCCCCCCGACATCCCGACACACACAGACAGAAAGGGATGGGGAGAGGGCTGGGTCTTTCTCACTCCCACCACACATACACCTGCCCTGTCCGGAGATGGAGCGGGCCTGACCCCTCCCCAGGAATCCAATCTCTGATTCCTCCCCAAGATCCAAACTCCCCCAAGGCCAAGGGTCAGACTGACCACCTCACCCAGAGGATGGGAGGTATGGGAGGTGGCTCCCTCCCAAGGAAGGACACGAGAGGGCAATACTGTTCCCAGGGCAGGAAGCCTTAGCAGGGGAATTTCCAGGCACTGTGCACTAAGCAGAGCTCTCCCTCCTCCCCTGCCAGCCTGGCCTTGGGAAAAGACCCTCCTACCCGCGCCCAGACCCCTCTCTGCCGAAGGCCACATGGAGGTCACAGCTGAGAAGAGGTTACGGGCAGGAAGCTCCTTGACTGGGCTGGAAAATAGGGCAGGAGGAGGAAGGGAAAATTCTTCAGAAAGTCCCAAATCTGACCTAATGCTGACCCAGGGCCAGGGGACCCATTCCAGAAGTTCCTCTGAGGACGCTCTGCTCTGAACGGGAGCCCTGCTCACCCCTGCCTCTAGCACCTCTAGCCCTTCCCCATCTCCCTGCCAGGAGCCCCCGGCCGCTAGCCTGGTCGAAGTCTTTCCTGACAGCCTTGACCCTGGAAACCCTCCCCGCATGCAGCCTCCATGGCCTCCGAGAGAGCCATGTCTCAACCAACCAGTACTCCATTCTCCTGTGGGTAAACTGATTCCCATCCATCCCGACCAGGACAGCCCCCAGGGCACAGATGGGTTCTCCTCTGTTTCCAATGTGGGAGCCATCGCAGGGCTGGGCACCCAGGACAGCTTGGGAGAAAGACAGTTTCTGAGTGCCCTCTTCCTGCCCCTGGACGAGGGGCTTCCAGGGGCAAGGCCAAGATGTGGCTCCTTTGGGAGAGGACCCACCTGTTTGTGGGGCACGGTGTCCTATCCTTTCCTCATACGACCCTCAGTCCTAGATCATGGAGCAGCACAGCCAAACCCCTGGGCAGGACTCCACCCATTTTGTTATTACTATTATTTTATTTTTTGAGACAGGATCTCACTCTGCCGCCCAGGCTGGAGTGCAATAGTGCTATCCTGACTCATCACAGCCCCGACCTCCTGGGCTCAGGTGATCCTTTCAGCTCAGCCTCCCAAGTAGCAGGGACTACAGGTGTGGGCCACCACACCCCACTAGTTTTTTTTTATTTTTTTATTTTTTGTAGAGACAAGTTCTCACGATATTACCCAGACTGGTCTCGATCTCCTAGACTCAAGTGATTCTCCTGCCTCGACCTCCCAAAGTGCTGGGATTACAGGCATGAGTCACCACTCCTGACCTATACATTTTAGAGTTGAGTGAGGTCTGGGGAGGGAATGCATCCAGCCAGCACTCCAAGGCCACTTCTAGTTCCTCCCACTCCCCTGCACCTCCCACCAGCACATTCCTCCCCCCAAGTCTGAGGTTTGGTGGTTCATTTCTGTCCACCATGACCTCAGAATCTAGTCCAATGGCTCCCAAGAGCAATCAGGGTTCCATCCTTCCCCGCCCTCCTCCCCTCTGGGATCTAAACAGAAAAAAAACAAGCTCTTATCTTCGTTGTAAAAGGTTTATCAAGAACAAAGAAGAAAGATTCAAGCAGCAGCAGCCAGGAGCAGATCATGACCTCCTGGGGGCGGGTACAGCAGTGGCACAGGTCAATACGCCCCTGGACCACTGCTGGACCACATCCTGGCCTAGGTGGGAGGAGGCAGTAACCCCTTGGGGATGTAAACATAGGCCACAGGCGGCACAACCTGACCCAGGGCAGGGGCTTGCATCACAGTGAGGCTGGTTGAGGGCCAGTGGGCCTGGAATCCCTGGAACAGGGTGCCCTGGCCCCTTTTTCCTCTTCGGTTTCCCACCATGCAGCAGGAAGGATTAGGAGGCAGTGCCCTGGAGGCCAAGGACCCAGGGAGCCTGGGGTCTCGGCCTGCTTGGAGTGCAGGGAGTTATTGCTGGTGAACTTGGAGACACGGAGACATCTGTGTGTCCTCTCCAGGACGGGGTGCCAGGGCTCTGGCACTGTGACCCCAGGAGAGAAGGATGCTACATGATCCCCTGACCATGCAGGAAGATGGAGGCTCAGCAGGAAGGGAGTTTGAGGCCTGCAGGAGTGAGCTGGCCTGAAGCCCCTCCTGTAGAGGACAGGGTGAAGCCAGGACAGCTGGGGGCATGGAGCCAGGAAGATCCCGCCCTCTGCCACAGGCAGCGTCCCCATGGAGGGGCACCATCTGGTTTGGGAAGGGCCTAGGGAGAAGAGGAAGATGTGTCCATGCCTCTGTGCCTCTGCCCATGCTGTTCCTCTTCCCCGTTTACTGTCTGGAAGGTTCTCGTAATTCTTCAAAACACTGTTCAGACATTACCTATGCTAGGGTCTTCCCTGGCCAGCAGAAGGCTGTGGTCCCTTCTCTGAACTTCTAGAAACCCCTTAGTGAACCATCTGTCACAGGGCATTGACTCTGTTTCTGTGTCTGAACTCCACCTTGACTAAGAACTCCTCAGGGGCAGGTACATCTCATCCTTGGAGACCCAGCGTCTGACCCAGGAACACAGCAGAAACAAGGCGGTGGCATCAGGTGAGCAAGCACTGGGCTCCAGGGCAGCCTAAGACCCCAGCCTGGCCTTAAACTACCAACCAGCAGCCCCAGCCTTGGCCTGGAGCGTTCCCGGCCCCGTCCCTACCCCTGCTGTCCCCCGCAAGGAGTGGGGCGTTCCGGGGGTGCTCGCGACTCCTGGAGAGCCCCTTGCCCCAGGAGCTTCTCACCCACCACGGACCCTCCCCCAGCCACTGCTGGTCCAGGGAGGTTGGGAAAGCAGGGTGGGTTGCAGCGGCCAGGCCCAGGCGCGAGGAGGGGCTGGGCACGTGGTCAGAGGCTGTCATACATGCGCAGGGTCTTCTCCAGCTGCTGCGCCACCCGCTGGTAGAAGAGGATCTGCTGGCGCAAGTAGCTTTGCATCATGTGCTTGAAGTCGAGCTCGCGGCGCTGGTGGAAGTGGTTCATCTCGGCCTGCAGCGCGAAGCCCACCACACGGCAGCGCCGGCGGATGCCGTCCGTCTCGTCCTGTGCCATGCGGCCCTCGTCACTCATGCGCTGGCTCTCCTTCACCTTGGCAAAGGCGCCTGGTCAGGCAGAGCAGAGGATGGGGGTTAGGGCTCTGGCCACCTCCGTCTGCTCCGTCCATTCCCTGAGTGTGTACATGCGTGCGCGCACATACAGTAGCTCACTGTCCACACCTTCCCACTTCTCCTTTAAGGAGGGCTCTGAAGGGCCTTCTATTTTTATTTTTTTATTTATATTTTAGTTTAGTTTATTTTAGTTGGAGTCTCACTGTGCCACCCAGACTGGAGTGCAGTGGCCACTCCTGGCCACTGCAGCCTCGACTTGCTGGGCTCCAGCGATCCTTCCGCCTCAGTCTTCCAAGTAGCTGGAACTACAGGCATGCGCTACCACGCCCGGCAAATTTTTTTAATTTTATTGTAGAGATGAGGTCTCGCCAAGTTGCCCAGGCGGGTCTTGAACGCGCGGGCTCAGGCAATTCACTCACCTCAGCTTCCCAAAGCGCGGGATTACAGGCTGAGCCACTGAGCCCGGCCTATTTTTATTTTTTAATTTTGATTTTTTTTTTTTTGAGTTGGAGTCTCACTCTGTCACCCAGGCTGGAGGGCAGTGGCATGCTCCCGGCCACCACAGCCTCGACCTGCTGGGCTCTGGCGATCCTTCTGCCTCAGCCTTCCAAGTAGCTGGAACTACAGGTGTACGCTACCATGCCCAGCTAATTTTTGATTTATTGTAGAGAGAAGGTCTCGCCAAGTTGCCCGGGTGGGTCTCAAACCCACTGGCTCAGGCAATCCACTCGTCTCAGCTTCCCAAAGTACCGTGATTACAGGCTGAGCCACCGAGCCCGGCCTAGTTTTGATTTATATTTTTAACGTCTGAGCCAGAGTCTCGCTATGTTGTCCAGGCTGGTCTCGAATTCCTGGCTTCAAGCAGTCCTCCCGCCTCGAGAAGGTGCCCTCAAGGGCAGACAACATCCCCGTCAGCTAAACGCAGACCTCAATCCCCAACTCCTGAGCCATGGGCCAGCCGCCTGGGTGTCTCCGCCAGGACGTCCCCCAGACTCTCATCCTAAACCGGTCACACCATCTTCCCTCCAAAATCCTAGCCCATTCATGACCAGTCACAACCCCGCTGGATGTATGACCTTCAGGACCAGCTGTTCTAGTTCCTACCCACCAAAGGCCTCATCATCTCTCACGCTGGTTCCTAATTCAGTTCAAACATCACCTCCTACAGGAAGACTTCCCTGTACCACACTGCATTAAGTACCTCGCAGAGCTCCTGAGGTCCCTAGACTTCTGACTGCCTCCCCCTGGACTGTGAACTCTGAGGACAGGGCCTGTCCTCATCCTGTGTCCCTAATGCCCAGCAAGGCCCGGCCCACAGCAGATCCTGGCAGATGTCAGCTGAACTGAGTCAACCCATCTACCCACAATCTCCCTGCCCTCGGTCCCAGCCTGAGGTTTGTTGCAGCACCCAAAAGGTCCTCTAAGCTGGGCACCTTCCCTGGCTGCCCACCGCCTGTAGATCAAGGTCCACACCAACCTTCCTGGGCCGGGAGGCCCTCTGCGAGCCCTGCAGCGGTCCACACGCACTCTTCCTCATCCAGCGCACCTGCTCCTTCCTGCCTTCCTACCGTGCTGGTTGGCTCCCTATTCATAATTCAAGGCCAATCAGGTGCCACTTCCACGTGGGACCTCCCCCAGGCAGAATGCCAGTCCCAGCTCCCACCCCACCCCCATTGCACTGCACTTCAAAGGCCAGCTGGTGTGTCACCCAGGCCCAGGGGACTAGAGGAAGCTATAGGCATTACCAGGTGACAGATGTGGGGCGGGATGAACCTGGGCAGGGAATTTGCAAGAAGCTAGATGAATCCACAAGTAGTTGGGGAATGAATTTTGGTTCTGAATTTAAAGACACTTGACTAGTCGTGCTCCAAGCCAGTGGGGGCAGTTACCAGGAGGAGGAGGTGGTTTGCCTGGGCCTGGCACACCTAGAGAGCTGTGGGGAATCCACTGCTTGAAGGAGAGTAAGGAGGCGGTAAGAGCTGTGAGGAGGATGGCACACACCCTGCATACTTCAAAAGCACTAGCTGTGCACGCACAGGCACACACGCACCCTCATACACACACAGTAGCTCACTGTCCTCCCCACTACTCCTCTAAGGAGGTCTCTGACGCGCCTTCTATTTTTATTTTTAAATTTAAATTTAAATTTTTTTAACTTTAGAGAAGGGGTCTCGCTATGTTGCTCAGGCTGGTGTCCAACTGGCCTCAAGTGGTCCTCCCACCTCAGCCTCCCAAAGTGTTAAGATTACAGGCGTGAACCTCCGCACCTGGCATTAAGGGCCTTCTAGATGCTATTCTTGTTACTCTCACTCAAGTTGTCTGGTGCATTCAAAATGCAGTCATTGAGCACTTACTGTATATGTCAGGACCAGGGCTCTACACGCTGGAAATAACCCTGGATTCCTTGAGAAGGGCAACACCCATAGTAACTGGCAAGTGCACGGCTGAGCCATCACAGCAGCATTTCAGGCAGACAGTCTCGAATTCAGAGTCTCCAGGGCTGCACACTCAGCACCCAAAAGAAACTGGCAGGTCCCCACTCCCTGTCCACTCAGTCCCTCTGCCACCTTCTCTGAACCATCTCCTGCCTCCCAGTTCTAGCCCGACAACCCAACCCTGGGCAGCAGAAGAGGGATCCTCTCCAAGGCCCAGGATAGAACCCAGTAGGAGACTTCAGGGCTGGAGAGGCCCCGGAGGTCAGCTGCTCAGCCTCCACTGTCACCCCTACCTCACTGCTCTACAGTGGAGGCCCTAAGGAAGCAGCGACTCACCTAGAAGGTTCCAGCCTCCTTCCTGCCCATAAATGGAGGATGCCTGGCTCTGCACAGCTGGGGGGGGGGTGGATACCACTACTGTTGCAAGGAACCCATGTCAGGTCCTCCAGGCATATGGGGTGGGGTGCCTGGACAATGGACACAGGGATTCAAGAAGGTTCCAAGGAGTAGGAAGGACATAGAAGAAAACAGGATAAAGAAACGAGGCTGGGTGCAGTGGCTCACGCCTATAATCTTAGCACTTTGGGAGGCTGAGGTGAGAAAATTCCCTGATCCCACGGGTTCAAGACCAACCTGGGCAACATGGCAAGACCTCCTCTCTATAATAAATAAAAAAAATTAGCCAGACATGGTGGTGTGTGCCTGTAGTTCCAGCTACTTGGAAGGCTGAGGCGGAAGGATTGCCTGAGCCTAGCAGGTAGAGGCAGTAACTGTGAGCATGCCAATGCACTCCAGCCTGGGCGACAGAGTGAGATTCCAACTCAAAGAAAAAAAGAAAAAAATAAAGAGACGAGAAATAAACTTCAGAAAAGGAACCAACCTGGAAAGGAGACACCGAACTAGCCTAGATTCCACCTGCCTGAGAGTCTGGGTGCAGTGGAGTTAGACCTACATCCTCAAGAGGAGTTTTTCTTACCATGGCTTTGGAGGGAAGAAAGGGCTCTGCTGTGGATGAGGAGACTAAGTGCCAGAGAGTAGGGATGAACCTCTCACAATTGCTAGGTGTCCACAGACAGGCAGGGAGCCAGGGGCAAAGGTCACAGGGGTCGGGAAGGCCCCACCCATCTCTCTGTCACTTCTCCACCCTGTGACTCAGTTCTGGGGCCAGGACCAGCTAACACCAACGCACCGCACCCGACGGGCTAAGGCTCAGGCCTTTCCGGCATCCCCCCTGCAGCCCACTTAGGACTCGACCTGACAGCTGAGGACCCAAGGAGCCTCCTGCCTCTGCAGGTCTGCCTCTGTAGGAGAGGAGCATTGGAAGCCACCAGCTGAAAGTCCCAGGGTCCCTGGCACCTTGAACCATCTTGCCTCCACCTCTTGGAGATAGTTCCCACCCACCCCAGGCTGGGGGCCGGAGGTCTGAGTCCTTGTCCCAGCTGTGTCCCCCAGCAAGCCACTGTTCTCACCTGGGCTTCAGGTCTCCCCGCTGTCACATGGGACAGATTGCACCAAGCTGTGATGCTGTTGACAACTGCTCACAGCAGTACAGTGCTTTAGAGTTTCCACATCTGTAAAACGGGATCATCACAGTACCCGCCTACGGATCAGGGAGGCATCACTGAACTCATATGTACATGGGACTGAGGACCACACTTGAGGTGGAGTCAGAGAGCAGAGGCTCCCCGCCAGGGTGCAAACTGTTTTCCTACCCATGGGCTCACCGCACGGACCAGCCAGCAGTGGCTCATGGCAGTGTGATTCTTTGTTTATGGAAGCCTAGGAGGGGAGGTAGAGGGAGAGTTAGATGATGGTTCAGAACCCACAGAGGCTGGACCCACCTGTCCCCAGGCAAGGGCTTGCCCCTCCAAAGGCCTCTTTGCTTGACCATGCCATGAGTCCCATGGCTGCCACCCGCCCTGCTGCCACGGATGCTCTGTGGTGGTACTGGCCCGCCTCTAGTCTGCTGAGGATGCCAGCTGAACTGGTGGGGGAGCGCCAAGCTTGGCTCCCTCCTCCTTCCTCTGCTGGCTTCTCTACCCCAGCTGTCTGTCCCTGGGGAGCCCCTTCCCCCACCTGCTGGGCACAGTGGAAATAGCCTGGATGTGAGATCAGACACACCACGCTTCAGTTCCTGCACCCCCTCTGTCACCCGGAGGTGACCACGTCGACCTCCTAACTTGTGATGAGCCTGGGGCCCAGCCCTGCCCTCGCTGGCTGCCAGGTAGGGACCATAGGTCTCAGCTTGCCCTGGACAGTCACTTTCCCCTTGCTGTCCCAAGATAACTATTGCTGGGGCTGCCTTTCACCTCCAAAACTGACCCAGTTTGAATAGTTAATTGTATTAAAGTTATGCTTTTCTTAGGAAACCCCTAGGCCAAGTGGGCTCCAGGGACTGGGCCAGTGTAGACCCAGGCTGGTGGGCCCCAGCTCCACTCCTGCCAGGCTTCACATCCCATTATTTAACTTATTTTACTTTTTGAAAAGCATACACATTTATTTAATGTAAGTTTTAAGTGACACAGAGCCTTCCTAAGAGAATGAAGACCCCGTGTCCCACTTTATTATCATAGTGACCGAGGGGAGGAGACTGTCCCAAAGTCACAGCCGAGGCAAAGTTTGTCCAAATTCTGGCCTCCGGACTCCCTGCTGGACCTCCACTCTTCCTCCTGCTGTCTCTCCCACACCCTCCATCCCTTCAGATTTCTAGACAGGCTGGGTGGAATCCCGAGAACCAGGACTCAACTGTCCTGCTCCTTCCTCTGAGGTTTCTACCCAAAAGGCCAGCATCGGGTCTCCGACCCCCGAGTTCCTGTCAAGCTGTGGTCCTCAAAGCCTGCCCAGTTCTGCTTCAGCCAGATTGCAAGCTCCTGTCCTAACTCACCCCACACCACAGGCCCAGGAGGGACAACACAGAGCCCAGAACCCAGAGTAAACTCCAGAGGGCCTGGCCTACAGGGAAAGGGGGCTGGGCTCTGCTTCAGGTCCTCTGACTCTCAGAAACACTCAGGTGGAGACTCAAAAATGACCTCTCACCAGGTGCAGTGGTTCATGCCTGTAATCTCAGCACTTTGGGAGGCTGAGGTGGGAGGATTGCTTGAGCCCAGGAGTTCGAGACCAGCCTAGGCAATACAGCGAGACCTCGTCTCTACAAAAAAATTAGCTGTGGTGGCATGTGCCCGTGACCCAGTTACATGGGAGGCTGAGGAAGAAGGATCACCTGAGCCCAGGAGGTTGAGACTGTGGTGAGCTGTGATCATGCCACTGCCCTCCAGCCTGGGGGACAGAGTAAGACTCAAAAAAAAAGGCCTCTTTCAGTTCTGCCTCCCTGTCCCAGGGTCAAAAAGGCCAGTCTGGCTTCACTCTGAGCCTGGGAGCCCTTGGGTGTCCCTGGCATGGGGCTGCCCTCATGCCCTCAGCTCTGCTTCGGGCAAGGGTCCCCAGCCACTGCACAGGGCAGCCATTTAATCATGGCACCCCTGCCTCCCACTGCCCACACAGGAACAGGCCATCCGAGAAGCTGGTTGAACCAGCTCTTCCACTTCTGCACAGGGAGACACCTGCCCCAGTGGGCCCCCAGCCGCCCCGCTATCTCCCCTGCCCTACCCCTGTTCTGGAGCTCAGAGCCAGACCTAAGGCACCCGAAGGCTTCTGGGCCAGATCCTCCCCAGGAATCCCTTCCCAGCCCCTCCTTGGAAGGCCCAACAGCTCACTGGGGCCCTGTGCCCTTGTTTTATAGATCAGGAAACCAAGGCCCAGAAAGGCAAAGGCACTTCCCAGGGACACACAGCAAACCAGGGGCAGTGCTGAGACTAGCCCTCAGGTCTATGTTTTCTGGAGTTGGAAGGAGGAGGAAGAAAGGTGGAGATGGGGGGGGAAGGGCAGAAAAGAAAGGAAGAGGAAGAGGAGAAAGTGAGGGGAGAAAAGAGGCTGAGAGCTGAAGTTCTGGAAGTCAGTCTCCTGGTCAAGGGGAGCAGGGCTTCTGAACCCAGACTCTCCTGGGCGGTGGTGGGGGGCATGTCTGCTGTCCCCCAGGCTTGGTCCAGGGTCTGCCTCCAGCTCCACCCTAAGTAAAACTCCCCACCAGCCAGGCCCGACCTCAGGGCCTTTGGGCCAGGGCACCAGCCCCACGCCCTGTAGACATTCTTCCAAATTACCAAGTGGCCCCGGGGAGGACCACACCTCTCCCGCCGGCATCTGCCTTTCTTGTTGTCTCCAGGACTCAGCCACCTGCAGGGTCAGCCCTGATCCACTACTCAGACAAGAGAGGCCAGGATGGGAAGCAGGAGTCGGACAGGCCATGCAAGCAGTGCCCTGGACCCCTGGTTCCTCTCTCCCAGCCCAGCCCAGCACCCCCGTGTGACCAGGGATGAGTCATTTCCCCGGCAGTTCCTTGACAGCCCCGGCAGAAGCAGGCAGGGGCCCATCCTGTCCCTCCCCCACACAGGGGGCCACAAGAACTGAGAACATGGCTGGGCTTGGGAGGCGGCCAACATGGATGTGTCCTTGGGGAGGTGGCAGGAGGAAGGGACAGTCCCAGCTGGGCCACGGACTCGCTGTGCAACCACCCTCCTGTGGATGCCAGCTCTCTCATCTGCAAAACAGGGACGGGGTCTTCCCGCACAGATAGAGAGCTCACAGGTAGGACAGGCAGCGGGAGGCTGGCTCCAAGGCTGCGAAGAGTTAGGGCTTGCAAGGAGAGGGAGACAGGCTTGAGTCTTGCGTCTGGGTCCCCCACGAGCCTATGGGCTCCTCAAGGGCAAGGCCAAGGGTCTGGTCATCTCTGTGTTCCCACAACCTGGCCTAGGACCTGGAAGGGGCTCCATGCACGAGGGGTAAATGAGACAAAAACAGAAAATGAATGAAGTGATAAGAAGGTAGACATTGAGTTCCAGAAGGGCCAGGACCAGGCCTGTCCCCAGACCATCTGGAATTGTACCCGCCACATGGTTGAGACTCAACATGTTTGCCGAATGAATAATGGAGGCAGAGATAGAAAGACAAGCTGTCTGTTCTGCTCCATGCTAAGCATTCCCAGATGCAGGAAGGGCCTCCTGCCCATGCCAGGCCTTACCTTTCTGCAGGTGGATGATATCAGGGAAGTTGGAGAGTAGGCCCTGGTAGAGGGACAGCGTGTCGAGCATCTGGAAGAGGTCGTTCTTGGGCTGTTCTGCAAACATCTCGCCGACAGCCTCGTAGGGGCGGCCCGTGTGAGAAATGGCGCTGTTGAGAGCCTCGGAGCAGAAGGGGGGGTCCATCTGGAAGGCGTGACTGATAGCCTGGAAGGCGCTGCCCAGCTTCTGGAACTCCTTGCGAAAGCCCCCCACGTGCTTACGCACCAGCTCAGATGCCACGGTGCTGAGCTGCAGGACGCTGTCATCCATCTTCTTGCTGAACGTCTTGAAGGTGTCCACGCGGTCCTCTACGTCCTGCAGGTCCTGGTGTTCTGTGGGGATCTGGAAAGTGAGCAGGAAGCTGGCCCCCACCATCTCATCCTTCTCTGCCCGGCGCTTACCCATCTTCCACTGCTTGTCATCCAGGCAGCTGAGAAAATGCTGGAAGCCCTCGTACTGGGAGAGCACGGGGTGGCTGGTCATATGGTCCATCCAGAGAATGAGCCTCCGCTTCCGCTTCTCAATGAAGTCCTCCTCAAAGCGGCCCGTGGCCTGCTTCTCAGGCAGGTGCGGCACCGAGATGACCGTGAACTTGTGGAGCAGGCGGTTATAGAGCCAGTCAAAGTGTTTGTAGCGCCGGTAGACTGGCGAGCCGGCGTGGGTGGGTGTGAGCTTGTAGGAGATGTAGCTCTTGATGCCCTTGAACTTGGTCTGCTTGGTAGGGTCTTCCACAGAGCAGGCAAACGGGTGGGGGTTGGCCTTCCACTGGGGGCCCCGAGGCCCCATTTCTATGGAGTAGGTCTCAGCGATCTTGGCCATCATGGGCACATCACCCAGGATGAAGGCCTCCACACCGGAGCGCACGAAACACGAGAAGCGGTTAAGGTTGCGCCCCACCACGCTGCCTCGCTTGGCGGATGCCAGGCTGTCCTGCCGCTCCAGAGGGGGCTTGGGCCGGAAGGCCATGTGCTGGCTGGGGTAGGCACCAGGGTAGGAGAGGTGGAGTGGGGGGTGCCCGTTGGTACCCAGGCCGCCAGCGCGTGGCTCCTCCACCACCGTGCAGCCGTCATCCCAATCATCCCAGTCATCATCATCGTCCTCCTCGAAGCTGCCCTGGTTCGAGAGGAAGCCACAGCCCCCGCCACTCCTGGCAGGGCTGGCTGCACTGGAGTTGTCGTAGGAGCTCACCTGGGTCCCCAGGGAGCCTGCAGGGCCGCTAGAGTAGTCAGTGTGGTTGGCGCCGATGCCAGGACGGATGATCTCCACGTAAGAGGCAGGAAAGAGCCCCGTCTCACCACGGCTGTTCTGGCCCTGCAGCCAGCCGTCCAGCGAGGTCTCGCTGAAGATGACCAGGTCCTCGTCCTGCTGGATGCTAATCTCCTCTTTGTTCTCACTGTGGAAGTCATAGAGGGCTCGGCCTTTCAGTGCCATGGCTAGGCTGAGTGGCAGAAAAGTGGGAAGGAGAAGGTCTTGCCCAGGCTGGGATGCTTGTTGGGGGTCTGAGAACACACTGGTGACTCAATGCCCGTGACACAGCTCAGGCTCTTGGCCCTGAGGCCAGGTCGCAGCACCCACGGTTGCCGTCCAGCCTCCCCCTCTTCAAAGCAGTGTCCATGGTCCAGAAACGGCCCTATGGAGTCCCCAGGCACATGCCTGTGAGCGCGGAGGGCTCATGGCCCTAGGCTTCCTCCCCTCCCTTGCAGCCCCTGGGGGATGGGGGAGTCTCTTCTTTCTCCCAATCCCAGAAGAAAAGCCAAGTGACCTGGAGAAATGAGCTCTGCGAGGGCAAGAATTTGACACTTTCCACTGGAACAAGGCTCTAAAATAGAAGCGAATCACTCGGAATCCACCATTCCAGAAGCCCAGGCCGGGCTGCCCTCTCTCTGGCTCCCAGCTCCTGCTGGCCACTGGGTTTTGGGAGGCTCTCACATTCCTCTGCAGATCTGCCCCTTCCTTCTTCCTCCTCCTCCTCCCGGGCCACTGGGTTTTCAAAAATCTAGAAAATCCAAGAGGGGCAAGGAGAAAAGCAGCAGCCTCCTGAACTGAGTCCAAGGGTGGATGTGTCCGGCTTCTCAACGAGCCAGGCCGGGAAAACAAGGACCCAGGCTTACACAACAGGCGGCCAACTCTTCGACCCCGGCTGCGCAGCCGGCCCCCCACCGGCCGGGGCGCCCTCTCCCCGCCCCCCCCAGGGGACAGCCCTCACCCCGAGGAAGGAGGGAGCACGACGCGGCGCCCAGGCGACCTCTGGCCACTCGTTGAGCGGCCTCTTTTGTTTGCCTCACTCCTCAGCAGTTCAGAGCCTGAAGCTGACCCCGATCTGAATCCAGGGACCTCCGTCCAAAGGTGACCCCAGCGGACACTGGCCCCGGACCCGAGACCCCCGCCCTCCCCCCCTCGCGTGCACGCACACACTCAGCAGTTTGGAGTGAGCTGGGCGAGCCGCTGGCGCGGCAGCCGTTTGTCCGTCTGTCCGTCCGCCGTCCGCGCTGCCCCGCGGGGCCGGGTCAGAGGGGCCCCCGCCGGCCTCGTCCGGCACTCGCAGCCCCCAAGCTGCCAGCGACAGCCAGCTCCAAAACAAAAAGCGATTCCGGGAGGTGGCGTCCCGGGGAAGGAGGGGAGAGCCGGAGGGGAGGTG